TAAAGTATCAAACTGAATTTTTGTTCAATAAAAATCTTTTAAATGCGACTGAAGCTTTTTTCCCCCAAAAACTTTGTCTTTAAAATAAGGGTGCGTCTAATACACCGGTTTGTTTTCTATTCCAAAAAATACGGTAACTATCTGTGCTGTACCTATCATAGGTATCGAATCCCGATTTTTAGCATTATAAGCCCTCAGACTTTTCGCTGAGCCACCGGGGAAGATACTAAAATATAAAAATAAAAATAAATAGTTTTAAAGTTGATAATGCTCAATTAAAACATGTTTTGGTTGCTAGAAAACCCCATTATATTCATTGATTCACAGCTTGAATATATGTTGAAGTGCAGCTTATATCACATTATTTCCCTCGAGTTGTCTGGATAACCTCCTAATTAGTTTATATTTTTCGATAGAAAATTATTGACTTTATACAAGCTCGTTTTTTTTTCTTCTCTTAATGCTTATACAGCTATTCATGGAAAACATTCATTATGTATGTGAACTTTCATACAAGCCGTGTATGAAAGACTACTAACAATCTGATATGCGCTATGTAATATGTTAGAATAAAATCGTTTTAGCGTGGAAAAGAACAGGATGTATCATTTGTATCATGTGAGCCCCCCAGTAGCACAGCGATATGTTTGCGAACTCACAACGCTAGAATCGATACCCGTGGTGGGCAGACCACAGATAGTCCATTGTGTATTTTGTGCTGAATTACAAACAGATATAACAGTATCATGTGAGCTGTTTTAATATGAACAAGAGGGAATCCTCAATAGCTGCGGCACTGGAAATTCTTTTAGGCAGGACTAGAGTAAATTTATCTATGAGACCTGTTTTTCTTTTTATTGGATATATTATTGTGCGCCAGTAATACCAAGGGTGAGACGCGCGTATATCCAATTCAATTTTATTAATCATCAGGATCTCTATCACCCTACCCTCAAATTGAAATTCTTTTAGATATGGTTAGAGTAAATTAATCTAGGAGACCTTGGACGTGGTCAAATATATCAATCGAAATGGTTTGACCTTCTGTGTTTAAATCTGTAATTAGGTCTCCAATCGGTCAAGAGATGACGGAGCTATGAGCTAAAAATTTTTACTTGAAAAACTCAGATTCATTCTATGAGCCGCTATGCCGCGGCTAATTAACATATAAATATATGCGTAAAATTGTGGGACGGGTGTTGGGTAAAGTTAAGATGCACACACGATAGTTAATGGTTCGTATCCTGTTGAAGCAAAAATCGCTTTCCGTACTTAGGAGCCGAGGGCACGTTACAAAAGAGACGGCCAAATTCCACTATTCGATCACACAAGAAAAGCCTGTAGTTGGCGAAGGATTCTGTTGACAAGATGTCTTCCCTCTAGTCTACCAGTTGAAAATGAGATATGGCTTTGTACAGATCGCCTTTGTGTAAGAGTTTGGGACATATCGTTACGGACAGCTCGTGGCTTGGATATTTTGTTACGAAAAATAGTTCGTTACGGCATCCAAGTTACCATCACGTCGTTAGTAAAGGTTTTGTTACAAGTGTTTTTGTGAATGGTGAATTTTGTGGTCAAATACGTACCTTAGTATACATGTAAATCTGACTAAACAAGGTCTTATGCAAAAATGGTACATATATTATGTTTGAAAATGTTCAAGTTATTAAAGGTGTTTTGAATTCAAGTCAAAGTATGTTAAGTTATTATTATTAACTTTGTTTAATGGAAACTCTAGTTTATTATGAGACATTTCTATAAACGTAAGTAAAATTACGATCTATATTTCCAAAATGTAACTTTATTAGCTCAATATTTCGCTATTACAGCTTCATCAGGACCGGCCCCCCAGTAGCACAGCGGTACATCTGCAGACTTACGACGCTAAAATCCGGGTTTCGATACCCGTGGTGGGCAGAGCACAGATAGCCCATCGTGTAGCTTTGTGCTTAATTACAAACAAATAAATCATCAGGACCGATTGATATCCTACAAGTTCGCTAATCCAGTTAAATCTGAATTGGAACACTGTCATTCGTAAATCGAACATTGATACATGTGTTTAGAATGTTTGATATTATTTTAATATCTGAAGATATAGGTCGTGATTTTATTTACGTTTATAGAAAAGTATGCTAAACTACAATTAATGTTTTAGTAGACCTAAATCGTTTTCACTGTGATTTATGTTTTTAGTAACACTATTCATGACACCCCTACCCCCTGTAACACATCGTAATACAGGCTTTGATACCCTCTCACCCCCATAGCGATATATAATATTTTTGAATTGTCCCCAAATGATTGTACAGCTTACGATCTGTTATATTTCATTTTATTATTGTCCCCAATAAATTGATATTTATAAAACCACCTGTAACAAAATCAGTATTCGTAACAAAACCTGCCATGTCACAAAAATTATGTACCAAGAATACACCTGGCACAAGTTGTCCTGGTAACAAAGTGGCGGTAACGAAATGTCCAGTAAATCAATGTCCGTAACGAAATGACTGGATTCCCTTGTATAGCTTTGCGCGAAAATTCTAAAATTAATACATCTCTGTATTATATCATACAGTATATGTAAATATATATATTTATCGAGGCGTCATTGTAATTATTTACTTTTAATTTAAACAAGGTGATTACAGCTGTTTTAGCGTAAAACGAAATTAAATATTTCAAACATACAAACGTAATAATCTTCGTGCCAGTTGAACAGAACTCCGCACTGTATACTAATTGCTCTTGAAAATGGCGCTGCAAGGACAGTGCTAACTCTGCAAAGGACAAACCAAGAAGCAATAGACAAAGTCCCTGAAAAATATTCAGAATACGAAAGATTATTAAAATCTATATAAAGAAATAAAAACAAAGTCATGTAACTTCCTTTATCTAGGGATAAATAAAAGTACTTCGTTTTAAAGACAGATTTGAATCATTTTAGTAATTAATAGTTTGCAAATTCCAGCTAGTAACCATAGCATGGATGTCACTATTATAGTATAAATGAATATAACAGGCACAACAAAGAGCAATCTTCAAGAAAGTCGACCTTCATTCTTCAACCTAAGAGCATTGATTCATTTAACAGAAGGGTTCGTGACTTCAAATTCTAGCTGTGTTATTCCTATCGAGATTCGTGTTAGTTTCTTCTCGCAATGAAAAAAAAATCTCCACACAATTATTGCAGTGGGTTTGTTCATATTGATGATGAAGCGACACATGAGAGTGATACATGGAGTTGTATAGGGTTCTAAATGAGCAGAAACGGAATTTATAATATAATATTTCATAAATCCTGCTTTGACTGAAAGGGGCAGTGTCGTATTTCTTAATGAACCGAATGCGCTAAATCATGTTAAGTTAAAATTAAAACGAGCTGAAGAACCCTGATATTCGGCGAAAGGCCTTGTCGGCACTGGATATAGCGTGGCTGACATATTTTCAGGTACGGAAATGGGTTTTAGGAACTAGATAAACGCTTAGAAGGAGCAATGGGGTAATAGTATAAAAAAAACAATTATAAAAGATAGGAGGTCCTTATTTTTTAATCTAGCTTGTCAATATCGGTAACTTGGGTTCCTAATTCGTAAGAAACTATAGACTTTGTATTTGGACATCACACACATCTAATCTGAACCAGTGCTGCATTCAACATACCACATCGATATTTAAGTGTGTTCTTATAATATTTACTTTTAAATTAGGAAATTAACTAAAGTATAATACTGAAATTTGAATTATAGTCTACAGTTTCATACCAAATATATTGACATAAATTCACAAAATAGTAGTTCAATAAAATTTTCAATATAAGTCAACAAACGTGATGACATGGCCTTTGACCCGTGACGATAGGGTTAATAAACATCTTCATTGGTACTAAACCATTGGGGGAATAATGCAAACTGAGAACTAGGTACACGATGTGTACCCGCGTGTACCCCAATTTCCTTCACTGCATGTTGTTATACACTCTTCATTACTCTAACTCGAAAGCTCTCCTTATTAATAATTTATATTAATTCTCCTAATAGAACAGACATGTTAAACATATTTATATTCACCGTGTCTTATAATACTGTATATTGATAGATAACTTAAGATTATTCAGCATTCAAAAATGTTTTGTATATTTCATTTGTTGCCGAAAAAAAACAAAAAAAAACTTGTCAAATATTTGCACAGTTGACTATTATTTTGTAATAGGTCGAGCTTCTTAACTTTAACCAAGAATTACTCAGAATATATGATTAAGAAATTATAATTATGTGACTGAGTCGATCTCTCAAAAATGCAGTCTCTTAGGAGGCCTGAACAACTAACTTTCATTCCTGAAAATAATGTATTACAAAAACCTTCACAAATCTTACTATAAAACAATACTTATGTATATAAGAAATTGTTGTCAATCGAATTCCCTTGTGAATGATTTACATATATGTTTATAAGGTAATAAAAACAAATAACCTGATACATGTTTCGTATAAAACATTACGTGTACAAAGGTTAGTTGATAAAAGTTTTCTACTTAACTTAAGAAGACGTTATTTTATATTAAAAATCATTGTAAACGACAAACAAATTGGAGACTGCGGAATTGAAACTAGAAATGTGTTTCGTAATTCCGAAATTTTTATACTTCTTTAGACTTTTCCTTTATAGTCGCTTCTAAAACAGAGATGGCTTTTAGTTTGGTTCTTTTGTTATCGACAAATGATTCGCAGACTTGTTTAAAAGTACAACTTTATAATTTATTCATGAAATAGAAGTTACTCCAATAATGTACATTTCCACAATAATACCAATCCTTAGATTCAACTCGGTGCCAAGTTCTTTTCACCAGTTATTCATAACATTCTTATTGAGTTTTCCGAAGCTAAATCTAATTAACTCTGTAAACGAATCAAAATAAGATTTATCAAACAATTATACTACGACCAAGTCAAGTTTTAAACGTATAATAACAAAATGGTCAGAAATGTTTATATTTCAAAATTATTTTCATTATTTCAAAACAAGCATATCTGAAGAATAATTGATATAATGTGTTACTGCTTAGCAACATTATTATTCATGTCTGATTGCTTTACTTCAAGTGTTTCGTAAGTTTAACTTGGTAAATAAAATGCCACCATCAAGAGGCAGCAATCCGTATTCAATAGAATAATATAAAGTTTGACTCAAAATATAAAGTTTACTGAAAAAAAAAAAGATTAATGAACAACAACAAAAAAAAAGAGAAAATACCACTTTTGTGATGCCGAGAAAGGTCCAAGAAACAGGACTTTGTCTTCTGGAGGCCTTCGTTAGATAAACTTCGATCGGAGTCAAAAGCCACAACAGAACACAAGGAGTCCAAACAAGGACAGTAGTATGGAAACAGGGAGTGAAATCTGGCCATTCTGCATACCAAGTAACATCTAAGTCCTAAAATAATAACACAGATATTATAATGAACTGAGAAACACAAATGCATTTTACGATTTTTTTTATCAATAACTAAAATTAAAATCTTTTGGAGACAATCTCCATTTAAGGAAAAAAAAAAAAAAAATTCGACACATTATTATCTGCCATTACTATAATTTTATATTATCTACTATAAATGTCCACAGTTTCAAACGTGTACAAGTTTGTTACGTTTAGAGTAAAACCACCTTGGACTATCTGTTGTGTCCACTGCGGAGATTCAAACCCCAGATTTGAGCGTTGTAAGTCTGTAGACTTATAGCTGTCTCACGTTTTCTTCTAAGAACTCGTTTATGTATTCAATGTTTCTTTTTCTCCGTTTTAAATTGTTGCCTATGTTATTAATATCTTACGAGGAAGTTACTCTGCGAGAATACGCCAGTTTTCCTTAAATCATAGTTATTGTGTTTTTCTGTTACAGTAAATACGTTGAATAATAAATGTTTGATTTTCAAAATGGCTCAGAAAAGTTACAACATGATGTTCTCTAGCAATAGTCTGTCCGTCGTCTAGCTTTGAGTGGTAATAGAGATGATGAAACTGAACGTGAAAATTTGCATAATACAGTTCTAGCGGAGTTCCGTAATTCTGCGCCGCAGATTCTATTCGGAGAATTAAGTTAACTTCACAATACTTACTGAAATCACTATTTTTCTCGCGGAAAATGGTTAAAATCCCACATGTGTTTTGATATAAAACAAACTTACAATACCGGCAGGAATTCCCAATATTCACTATTTTTTTTAGAACAACGCATTAAGAACCAACGAACGAATAGCGAACATAAACATGTGGGTTTAAGAATCAACGAACGAATAGCGAACATAAACATGTGGGTTTAAGAATCAACGAACGAATAGCGAACATAAACATGTGGGTTTAAGAACCAACGAACGAATAGCGAACATAAACATGTGGGTATGCATTATTGTACATAGAGAACATATTCGTATATAATGTGTTCTCGATCTCACTTGTGAGTCCTAGGCGTTTAGAAATTGTATTTGAGAATAACAGAATATATATATATATATATATATATATATTATTTTGAAAACAAGTGAAGTGAATACTGTTTTTAATTTTTTTAAATTTATCGCCAACAAGTCACAGACACCTACTGTAGAAGAATTCTTTGCTCAACACACACCTATATATATACATATTACTACTAATCAAAAAGTAAGTCTCTTGGCATCTATTGTATAGCTAGCTGTACGCTCAACGACAAACAGGCTTTTCATCCTCTGTTAGCTCAACAAAAAAAGTTATAAGATATAGTTATCTTTGTCTGCCAAAAATGTGGCTATTAAAAGAAAAAGAAGAAAATTTTCAAGAAATTAAAGTAATACTAATGCAGAAAAGTTATATTTCCCCACATGTCTACACCTTGCGCTCTGCTGTCTCGTGGTATTTCTTGTTTGTTTGTACACTGACAACTTTACATCTACATGATTTATTTACGCCTACTTGATTTATCTAAATTAAATACGTTTTCCTATCTCTTTATATACATGTATATATGTTTGTGTGTGTGTGTGCGCGCACACATATGTATATAAATGTTATGTTTTATCACAACGAAATATTTAGATATGAATCAAACATTAGTAATTAGCATGAAAAACATTCCTGAAAATCGTTTTTGTTTAATAAAGAATCAACATATTTTTCTAGTTATCTCGAGATCTATACGTTTCCTTGTGATATTCAAAAAAAATTGTAAATACGTTGCACATTATTCTAAGCCCTTGTACTTCCAGAGCTTTGTTTGTTTTGTATTACCAGAGCAATCATCAAAGGATTTACCTCGATGAAATGTAAACGATTTGATCTTATTTTAAGGGTAATTGAAATGAAAAGTAGTTTGTTAATAATAAAATTCAGATTATTTTAACAACCAATCATTATACAGTAGCACTTAATAGCAGGGATCATGATGAAACAAAATGGCGGCCGTAAAAATCGCCCGTTTAAACCACCTTTAATATGTCTCAATATTAACATAGTCTATTTCACAGTATTAGCTGAGCAAAACTGAAGGTTATTCTACTTATAAAACCACCTAAATCGCTAGATAACATGTTTATGGAGTGAATCAAAATTTCACTATTTCAACGAATTTTCAACTAAATAAGTGACTTTTCCAGATAAACGTACAGAGAGAAAAAATATTAAGCTATTTTATCACTTTAATTCTTACACAGAACTCTTTCGTCTGGGGTCTCAATGATTCCTTTATTGTATTGAAAAGGATACTAGTATGTACACAGCGTGGT